GCTCCGTCTTTCCTCTGTTCACTTTTAGTTTATTGTTCACCATCCACGAGTCGATCTCGGAAACACACGCAAAATGTATCAATATACATCAGTATAACGAATTCAAAAGGCTAAGGGTACACCTTTTATGGGAAAAAAATTTAAATTATGCCGAAACAAAAGTGATGTAAAATTTTAAAGTTAATTGTTATTTTCGCAAATAAAGGTTGAGAGATAGCATGATTGACTTGATTAAACGCAACTTTATTTTGAAACCTAGCCAATATTTAAGACAGTAGACAAGACGTGACGGGAACTACTTACTGCTAAATTAAGTTTAAACATGCATGTTCTTAGAGCCGTGAAACATAAAATCTTCCCGTGTCGTGATCAAATATTCTTCATTCTCATTTCACAACATAAATACAAAGGTATAAAAAATTTTAACGTATTTCTCGTGGATTTTGTTCATATGAATGCTTTGTTCAATATCCTCAATAAATTATTTGGATCTGTAGTCAGTGTACGCGGTCAAATATTAAATATCTTACGTCATATATCTTCACTATTCATCAAAAGTCCTATATACACTTAGTAGATTTTCTTTAGTTACCTTTTATAACATATATTCAAACGATCTCGGTTTCTCATTAATTAGCACTGATCCTTTGTGAGTCCAAGTCGTGGCTACAAAATTGTTCCGTTTCAGTTGATCCTTCCAAAGCTGTTGTTGAACTTGTGCCTCCGCTGACCGCCATACTTACCTGGTCAAAATATCCTGTCCCTACCTCCCTCTGATGTTTATGTGCTGTAAAGCCGAATTGCGCTTGCGCAAACTCGTCTTCTTGAATCTTGGTGTAGGCAGACATACCGTGATCTTTGTAGTCACGTGCTAACTTGAACATAGCATGATTAAGCGAGTGAAAACCAGCTAAGGTAATAAACTGATATCTGTAGCCCATTTTACCAAGTTCTTTCTGAAACTCAGCAATCTCTTTATCGCTGAGGTTGGCTCTCCAGTTGAAGGAAGGCGAGCAGTTGTATGCGAGCGGCTTTCCTGGAAACATGGAGTGGATTCCATTCGCAAACATATGCGCTTCGTCCAAGTTAGGTTTACCTGTCTCACACCAGATTATATCACAATATGGAGCGTAGCTTAATCCACGAGCAATGGCTTGCTGCAGCCCAGCGGTTGATCGATAAAATCCTTCGGCTGTTCTTTCGCCAGTCAAGAATGGCTGGTCACGTGGATCGATATCTGACGTCACAAGCGCCGCTGACTCAGCATCTGTTCGTCCAATGATAACGGTAGGAACACCCATGACGTCAGTAGCAAGGCGAGCAGCGTTTAGTACTTTGATAAACTGTTGAGTTGGCAGAAGAACCTTTCCTCCCATGTGACCACATTTCTTCTCTGATGCCAACTGATCTTCAAAATGGACGCCTGCAGCACCAGCTAGGATCTGTTTGAGTTGATAGAAAAAAAAGATGCAATCCCAGCTCACTTAAGTCACTATCAATATTTGAATGAGGGAGATTTTGGTAATTCTCCGTCTTTCGCAATCGGTCTTTTTTTATGAAGGAAATAGTTGCGATTAAATCACCATTCTTCGCTTGCTCTATGGTACGGATACGCGGTTTGATTTTGAAGGGTGAGAATTTGTGTTTGCTCGAATCAAAGGCTCCGATCTCACTCTTGGTTTGAACTCTTCCACTTTTCTGTCTTTTTCTACCAGATGTTCGATGTACTCTCTTTCCAGTTCAGAAATAACTAAACCACAGAAGGGAATTATAAACTAAACTGACCCACTATATTCAGCATTCAAGCATTATTGTTGAGTCGTTTGTGTTCTGTTCAATAGAAATTGGGAAAAAAAAGAAAGCTGAATGGAACTTTGATGAGACACTTACCATAGATTTCGTGATTTCGAAGGCGTTCAACGGGCCACCAAATCCAGCCTCACAATCAGCCACAATTGGCAAAAAGAAATCGATATGTTGATCATTCCCTTCCATGTGCGCAATCTGATCTGCTCTGATGAAGGCGTTATTGATTCGTTCAACAAGCTTTGCCGCTGAGTTTGCGGGATACAAACTCTGATCAGGGTAGGTTTGACTTGCCATGTTACTGTCTGCCGCTACTTGCCAGCCACTCAGATAAATAGAACGTAAACCGGCCTTAGCCATTTGAACTGCTTGACCACCTAAAGAAGGTCATTAAACACGGTTAGATTCCGTCATTCAATGTTCAGTTGGAAAACGTAGGCAATTAGAGATTAGGATCTCGGACCCATAGATTTCGTGATTTCGTGATTTCGTGATTTCGTGATTTCGAAGGCGTTCAACGGGATCTCGGACCCGGCAAAATATGTCCGCTAAGAAAGGTTCTTTATTTATAACGACTCAGTGTGCCTATACATTATCATCATGGAGCTGAATTTGGATGATCGATTATTCTGTTGAATTCATGATCGCCTTATCAGGGCCAAGATGTACAGCACGATTAGCATAACTGTATGACCAGAGGAAAATTTGTCTAATCCGATTTTAATCCGTCATGATTGTATCATTTACATGGTTGAGTGCATGTTCATTCTTTTCTTAAGGCGAAAAAAAGTTGCTTGTTTCTTTAACTCTGATGAAGAAGTATTCGTGCGCCAATGAGCCTTAGAAAGAGAGTTTTTTCTCTTGTACGAGTCAAAAGGAAAAATGGCATGAGTAGCTAAGAAACTTACAAGGAAATATTTGAGATACCCCTGAAAGTGATAAAAAACCATTCTGGCATTAACATCAATTGGTATCTGACTGCTCCGAGAATATACGTTGAAAATAAATATCACGCAAAGTTCATTTAACAACTTTTAAAAGATCTGCTATTATGATGCGAACATCAGCAAGTTGTTCTAATGAGAGAAAGCCAAAGTTAAAATGCTCTAAAACATTCCTAGTGCATTTTTATTTTGTAAAAAACCTTAAGGAGTTCTTTTCAAAGATAAGTTTCTGTGACTACCTGTCATGGCGCCAAGAGCGTTCACATACGAGTTTTCTCCACAGTTTATCAGTTTCCAAAGCCGCTGTGCGCCTCGTGTGGCTAAGGTGTACTCTATCTTTAAAGATCCTCGGAGTTTCTCCACCGCTTCTGGTCCATAATCCCGTCGAATAGCAGTAAATCCGTATTTTCGTGTGCAAATTTTTAACAGTGTGTTCATCTTGAGACCTTTACTAAGAGCCATTCTGGTTGAAAGTGAGAAGATTGTCTAGGGCCTGGAAAAAGCTACTAAAATTGAACTTGGTAATACTAACCCAGCAGAAGATTTTTTCCTCTCTTTATACTCATCAACAGACCTCCCTGATCAATCGAACGTGAAAAAACTTCGCTTATTTGGAAGTACGTGTGCGTCATCATTTGACGTCACGTTGTCAATAAAGCATTTGAATGTACAGAACTGTAATTAGTTTTAAAAATCATCGAGTGCACTTTCGACCCGTCTAGTTACCTTATCAGAAAGGGGCATGATCACCCTTAAAACTTAGCGATGTTAGCTTCGTATGATTTCCTTCGCCTTCACATTTTAGGGGTAAGCAGTCAAATTGAAGTGTGGTGTAGAACAGTACGTGTTAGGTGATGGAACCGTGACCATGACCCATTGTTCAGCCTATTGTTTAGCATGACTAACGGGAATTAACAATTTCCCATATTGACATCCTGTATTATTAGCCCATGACTGAGCAGTATCATAGAAACCACAAGACGCCACTAAAGAAAACACTCTTTGTCAAAATCGTTCAGTACAGCCCGGCATTTTGGTTTGATGGACTTGAATAAAGGAAAATGGGCAAAAAACCTAGTCAATACATGGACTCATATTCCTTCATGAAAGGGATTTCCAGAGATATTTCGCTGACATGTTTAAGTAATTCATAACCGCGTAATCTTGGGTTAGGGGAGAGGTGAGAAACGAATTTTGGTATTATTCTACAGATGGACCCTTTTCGGCCCGATTGACTATAACCGTGTAACTGAGCAGGTGCAAATCAGGTTTAGGTTCAGAGGAACGCATCAGAACCTAAACTTGCGGGTAGCTATTAGCCCGACGTATCGTAAAGTTCTTTAGAACTAAGGAAAACCTGAACACTGGGTGTTCTAAGTACTCACACTTATTTCCGCCAGATGGACGGTTTTGGAATCAGGGGTGCATTTATTAGGTCATCAATTATATTCCGGTCAAGGAAACTATTTTGTGTTTACAGTTCCTATAGCTATAACACATCGTTGTCTTACTCAAGGTGAAGCAGGTCAATAGGCCTGCACCAATACTGGGCTCTTCACCAAGATACGTCAGAAAGTCTTGATTTAAACTGATTTTCATGTGACGTGACATCTGCCTGACAAAGATTACAAAAACATATAGTTGATTCAAATTTAAACGTGACTAGTTTGGTTTCACCCTCTTCTTCGTGAGCGACTAAGGGATACGTGACGCACAAGGATGATGTTAGAATACGTGATGTGATGCCTGAGAACAAAGTGACTTAGCAAATTTGATTTAATACACTAGTAATGAAAAGTTATGTATCAAAAATAGCATCACACTTGGGAGATTTTTTCGTAGAACCTAGAATTTCTGGAAAAAAAATCCGTAAATTTGATTATGTCCGGTCATGTACGACTTCTATGTAACACAGTAGAAAATAAGTCACACTTTTCTGTCTGGTCATGGTCACCACGTCACGTTTCGCACTGTTGGAGGCATACTGGAGGCGCGGGCTGAACAAATTAAATCCAACTGGGCATCAAAATAATAACTATAACAAGTACTTTGAAACCTTTCCATTTATCCATCCAGTTGAGTTCCTGTTTAACGGAGACGAACTCAAAGGGAAGAAAAAAGTACGCACATAACACATTTTACGTTTTGTTCTTACATACATCTTTCTAAATATTCACTTTGAGCTCATAAGTGAAAAAAAGTGAAAGCTTCAAACGTTTTTTAGCCAGGAAACGGTGGAGAGATTGCGAAAGCATTCTCTTTGAGAAGAAATGGGCTGAAATCGTGAAAAATCACATGGAAAATTTTTTTCCCGAAAAATTCCTTTGACTTGCGAAGTCAAGCGTAACTTATTTTGTAATATAACCCGACGTGTTATCCGTTTGGCTTTTAGAAACACAAGCATGATACAGATAACGAAGGGCGAAAACTAATAATTCACTCAATATTCTATTTTTTAAATAATCCTTATCATACTCAATTCGTTCAAATTCATAAAATGAACGCAGACCAGGAAGGAAGACTCAGACTTTCACGAAGTTTTATTATTACAACCAAAATTTTATTGAAACAATCTCAGAATTTTAAATGAAAACAAACCAATAAATATGACACCGTGGAATAGGATGGGTTCAGACATTACAACTACCTATCGGCGTAATCAGTAGTGTATACAGTTGTCTGATAAATAGGTTTGCCTAGGCAGGCCACGTTAAGGGTTCAAAGTTGGCGACTGGCGAAGTCAAGTGTTCTTTGTTGAAATGTTTGAAAATCAGCACCAAGACAAATCAATTGATTGATACGTGATTGGCAACCCCGGGCAAAAACGTGAGTTACGACACGACTGTGACGTCATATAATCCGATGTAGCAGAGTATAGGATAGCAAGTTTATTACTCAACTTATTCGCCTTTCGTTTGCAGCGACTGAGGTCGACTTCGACAACCAGTTGTGGTCTTGACAATTCATTACTCGTCCTCAGCCAACTGTTTTGAGATCAAGGAACAGAAAGCAAGAGGAAATAAGTCATTATTTTCAAGGTTTCATTGGAACCATGGCTACCAAGAACTGGAAGTTATTACGCGAAGCGATTTTGAAAATGAACAAACAAAGATACTTGTCTGTGATGCAGGGTATAAATAAGTTCACTACCTCAACGAATTCAAGAACACTTTATCATAACACGAACAAGGTTACTGATACAGGATTCCAGAAAAAGGAAATTAATAACCCCGGAGAGGGCTTGCATAGGAATGAACTCGCAATTACAGGTAAAGTGATCAGATCGAAGTCTTTTTAGTTACGTCTTTGAGCCTGGTGGAAGATCATTTTTGCTCATCATTCTTACAGATTATACTTTTGATGTTACACTATTTCGCACACGTTGTCTCTAACATTCTCTGTCAGTCTAATCATAAATATTTAAGTTAAGATCAAGCGTTCACTTTTTGTGTACTTTTGTTATGAGGAAATAAAAGTAGAAGGGAAGAAAGGAGAAACAGTCCACCCATAGGCGGTTGTTGTTATATACCAGTGACCTGATGAGATATATATTTATTCTATGGTATATCTAATCGTTAGTTATTTTTTTGCACATCGCTCCTTTGTATCGGCTTTACTCTTATTGGCACATTGGGCTGGTTTTAATAGTTTAAAAGCCTTGACGGAAACGGGTCATGGGAACAATAGAGGGCTACAGAATTTTTTTATATTTACTTGGATCTTCGTTACTAGATTGTCCATGAAAGAATTAAACAGGAATCTGTGGTCGTCTCCTCTGCCGGGATAAACAGATTTCTAAACCAGTTATACACTTCAACCAAGGGTTCAGAACCTGACAGAGAATTATTGTTTACTGAATTCAAATAGATATAAGTTGGTAGTATGTTATAAGTAATTTTTTTAATAAAGATGGCTATCCGACCACACACTCTAAAAAGTGAATGGTGGATCAAAGCCAAGGAAGGAAATAAGTTTACCCGCTGAAGCACGCATAGTTTGTAAAAGAGTAACAGCCAAACTGAGATACGATTCACTTCCTTTTGATTTGACACGTTGTACATAATTGTCACGTAATGCGTGGGTGTCTTTGTCACGCAATGTATTAGCAGTAAACAGATTAATAGCTCCATCGCGGTTGCCTATTTTGTATATCAGTTAAGCCTAAATACACCTTGGGTGATGTTCTTGGTATTTATCTCCCATCAACACACAAAAACTGAAAGAAAATCTCAGCCTTAGCCATGATATTCTCAACATTTTGTTCCCGAAATTTCGTCAATTTCTGCGTCGATGGTCATGTACAAGGTGCATTTACATGTAAACAAAATGAAAAGAGATTGGTCGCTAAAGAACACATATTTCAAATAAATTCATTGAGCAGAGTTCTTTCACCCAACAGGGATGATGTCAATGGCAGATTTTCCTTCTGCACACTCACAGAGATCCAAAGACCTAGTTTCCACACAGACACAAAGTGGTTTGGAATGTAGGCGATGCTTGACGCATTTGGCGCTTGGGACCACACGAGAAAAAACTCACAATGATTCTGAAGATAACACGAAAACCAAAGAATCACTTTGTGGACTTTTATTCAACAGTTATGTGCTCTGTCTCTTCGTTCTAGGTTCCTATATACCTATGGATTAATTAGCTGGAAGATGTGTAGAAGCCTGATCGCATTTTTGCTTGAGGGCGATTTCAAGATTAACATCGGCAGCCATTAGAAATCACCCAATATATATATATATAATATGTGTTTAAGCTAAACATTATTCCTCTATGAGGAATGACGTGGTTCTACAATATTTGGTCACGAGACACGTCCTAAATCAATGGCGCACAAGCAAAAATATTTGATGCAATTCAACTATGGATATAGAAACTTCCAGAAAATTGGAGTTCGTAGTTGTACTTGGGGAATATTGATAAAAAAAACCTTTAAAATCTTTCTTGATTTTAGAAGTCCTGTTGGGTTTTGCTGTACAAATAAGACTTGTAAAAAGATTTTTATCAGGCCATTATTCAGCAATACGAAGTAACAGAAAGAAAATATCTGTAAAAAATTATGTTGTTTATTGAGTAATTTTCAAAAAAAGAAACGCGTAGAATCTGAACGCTTCTTGAATGTCTCTTCAAATTAAATTCATCAGAGAAATATCAAAGCACAAATAAATACATTACATATAAAAAAATCACTTTGTTCGGGGAAATTCATCCTCTATTTCCTTTTCTCGCTCTTCTTGCGTGTAGACTATGGTGCAAAAGGCAAATGAAATAAGATTTGTGTTAAGAGGAAAAACCCTAATGACACAGAGTGTACTAGGTAGTTGCACAGTGATATAATGCCGCGGAAAGTTACCATTATAGGCTCTTACTTGGCGTAGAAGACACAGTATACGTCACACTATTGTTTTCATTGTTTTCTTATTTCCGGTTGTGATGAAATTCTATTTTGACTTATACTGTGTCTTCTACACCAAATAAGCTTCGCGTCGTGGTTTCCTACGCTTATCTCGTGTTCTCCCAACCTCCCGCGTGTTTACATCAGGCTATGTAAACACGGAAACCATTTTACATTTCTTCAATGAAGCACTTTTTCCGACGATTTCAGACTTAAAATAATTTTACATAAATTACCCTCTTTTTCATACATTAAAACTTGTAAACTGTTTAACAAGACTTAAAGTCTTGTTAAATGGTTTACAAAATTTGAATCCTCTACCGGAAATCCCAGAATCTGTATGATGTTTTTTGCTAGTATGTTCGTAGCTTGCAATTTACATTAAACACCCGCGTATAAGAACCTAGAATTTTTGGGTTCAGGCTGGATGGGTTCTTATATTTTGGGGTAGTTTTTCCGAACTCAGGCTGATTAGGTTCTTAGTAGGTTCTTATTTGTAGGAGTTGTCAAAGTGATACCATTCAGAGAACTACTGTTGTACTAGTATGTCATAATGGTTGAACATTTGTATATTTTTAAACAGCAAAAATGCCAAGCCTTATTTTTTAAACAATAATAAATTCAGTATCATAGGCTACCATATTTACAGTTGTATTTGATAATAATGTAAATTGTTAACAGCAATATAAATATATAAATAAAAACAGCAAAAATAAATAACAACCCAATTTAGGGAATTAAAATTGAACCAATTTGAAAATAATCAAATACAATTTGAAACAAAATATTAATTTTCTTGCGTATTGAAATAAAGATGCATTGTACTGTTCATTAGCTTTTGTATGAATGTAAAGTCTCAAAAGGTATTCCCAGGGTCCATAGGAAACATTTTCTTTGGGTATCACTGTTACAGTTGGACTGAAAAAGACAAGCAGCAATGTGTATTTCACAGGAGCAAAAGTCAGGGCACTCTACAGATTCAAGTCCCAAGGCTACACCAGTATAATTTTATACAGTATTCTATACTCTGTATTTATAAGATTTTCAATTAAACAAATAATTTTCATGGTGTTTCTCAGAAATTTCACAATTTCTATCAATTAAAATCCAGTAATTTGGCTACAAAATAAGAGTGGTTTTTTTTGTATAAGAACCTATTGTTGTTTGCCAGCCTAAATAGGTTCTTATATATTTGGGTACTAAAATGCCCAATTTCAGCCTGTATGTTCTTAAATCACTAGGTTCTTATACGTGGGTGTTTACTGTACCTCAGTCGTAAATACAGGAAACAAACACTGAATGAAAGTTTTTTTATTTTGTTGAAATATTTCATTGTAAATTCTCCTTACGCTATCTACGTAAAAATTGTTAGAAATCGGGCTTCAATATTATAAACAAGCACTAAAGTACTTCAACTTTGATAAAATATTTTTTTAAGCATGAACCATTGCCATAAAGAACTACATCTAACGATACACTTTAAACCGCTAATAAATATATTACTAGAAATTTTTAATACATCAGTTTTTCATTAGGCTTGTGTAAAAGTTAACAGCTATTTAATAATACTATCTACCATGGAATACTCCATAAAAATTGGAAAAATAAGAAATAAAATTAGTAATGGGAATCTTCTGTGCTTCTCCAGCAGACATATTGTGTTAAAATAAAAATTCAATGAAACCCTTCATAAAATTCTACTTCAAAAGAAATCAGTAAAATAAAAACATCACATATGCAGTGATAGAAATTTATCAATAAAATATGACAGTATAAATGCTTCCCACTGTTTGAAAATGATAACAATTAAAAAAGGAATATTATGCATAAAAAAAAAACAGTGGTAACAATGAATATTTCAGTAAAAATATCAGATTTTAATATTGCACTTTAGAGTAGGGGGCTAAAAGTTACAGTACCTTCATTCTATGAATTTAGTAAAAACATCTTAACTAGTAGCATTAAATAATTCCCAACAATGTAACCTAATTGGTTTCTTTGTCCATGTTGCAATTGTCAAATAGCTAGATTATAGCTAGCCCCATCATATCCAAAAGAAGTCACCATGAGACTACCATACAATTACTTTCTTGTTTCTGCTCAATAAAGTTGATCACTGGGGACAATTCCACAATTGTGCTGAATCATTTTGGCCCACTAGCTCTGACTTTTCATCTGTTGCTGCATCTTTGCAATCATCTCTTGCATTCGCCGAAGCTGAAAATCAATCATTCAATCAAGTTTGTCACTCCCTTTGCTTAATAACTGAATATATTCATCCATCAGCTACTGTGTCAGACAGTCAATCAATAAGTCAGTCAAGAAAGTAGTTGGCTGGTGAATCAATCTGTCAGTCAATCAATCAATTAATAAGTCAATTCATTCAATCAAAAAACCAACAGACAGACATACAGACAGGCATACAATACAATCAGAGTCATTCAGTGGGTCAATCACTTAATCAAGACATGTTTGCTACTTTTTTTGTCTCTCTTGGCTAATTACTTACCTCCTCCTCTTTCTCCATCAAAGCACGGTCTTTCTCCATCATGGCACTAGTGATGTTACGAGCTCTGAAGTCAAGACAATTAAAAAGCATTTGTTTAGAATTATCGCACTTTTTAACAAAGCGACACATAACATCACATTTCAAACATGTCAATGCACCTTTTGCCATTCCTTGGAGCATCTTCAACATCCCCATTTGAGAGCTCAGTTTCACCTGCCAGCTGAGCTGCTCGGAAGTTCTCATAATGACTTTCCTGTGTCACTTCCTTGAGGTCCTGCATGTGAGTTCTGTGAGAAAAGATCAATTGTAGGATCAGCTACTAAGACCCAGGTTGTCCATCCTGCGAGAGCCTAGCCCACTTTCAGTAGCATGGGGTTACTATGATTGTCCCTACTCACTCCCCCAACCCTACCCCCTTTAACCCTGCCCCTCCCCCCCCATGGGAAGCTGGTCCATCTAACAGTTACCTGAGTTTAATCTTAAAGCTTGTAAAGGGAGACATATTTTTAAAGGAATTGTCAGCTTACAGTGTATGTTTGTTTGACTGTTTACCAAATGACATTTAAAGAAAAAAGTTTGAGAGACACTTACACAAGCATAGTGCGTAACTTCACAAAGTCACAGTGCTTTGGGTTTTCAACTGAAAGAAAAGGAAAAAAACACTCTGTCAGCAAAAAAAGCTTTCATATCAATACCTATAACCACTTTGGTACTTGACTACACTCATATCACTAACATGTCCTACCTTCAACCACTCCCCAAGGGTAAAGCCGTCCTCGAATCTTCTTGCCACACACCTCTATCAAAGTATTACTTCCTACCACAGCAAATGGCATGCTAGCCTGATAATTAAAAAAGCAGAAATGTAATCATGACTGTTAAAAACAAGCTTTCTTTAGCTGCATGTCAGGTGTAATGTTCTGAAATGTAAAAATGTTTGTGTTTAATCCATAGTCTCTAAGTGACAATCAGCAAACAACACACTAAAGGGTCATGGTCATGCACTTGTGTCAGGTTGGGGGGGTTGTGTGATTCCCTCACCCATGGAACCTTACCTTACAGAGAGGATGCCAAACTGCTCTACAAATTATGCTGAATTTATCTAAATTCATCACCTTAAGTTGTTTTGTTTGCTCTACGTATTCTTCATCTTCATCACTTTCACAGTCTGGGAGCTCATAAATTGTGATACCTTGTTCCTCAATTTCATCTAAAACCTAAATGGAAGAAAATTTCATAAAAGGTAATGAGAGTAAAAATTACAATTAAGAAGTCTAAATGTGAAAACAGTCAAAGGTAACAGAACAGTTAACTTCTCTGTCAGTCACTCCTCTTAACTAGAGTTCTATATTTACACATAATTATATTTACACAAGTAGTTACAGTGCACTCGCAATAGTAATATTAGCGGTTGATCGTTTATTGTCCCTAAACTTGCTGGACCTTGAACCTACCCTTCGTTTCATGCTGTTCAGTTCAGCTGGAGTGAGAGTGTCAGCCTTTCCAATGACAGGAACAATGTTGACTTTGTCATGAAGCTGCTTCATGAACTCAATATCAAGAGGCTTGAGTCTGAAACCAAATTCACCATGAAACTCAGAATACTCAAGTTGACAAAATAGCTACAAAAATGTTTTTTTATTCCTCTTAATAACTAGTAGCTAAAAACATAACAAACCCATGTCCTGTTGGAGCTATAAAGTAAAAACAGCAGTGTACTCTTGTGTCCACAATGTGCCGGCGATTCAGTCCTGATTCATCTTTAAGGTAACTTTCAAACTGTTCTTTAACATAATCCAGAATGGGTTTGAAACTGATAAAGAAAAAAGTTACATGTAACTCTGTTTAAATATCTAATAGGTTAGAATAATTCTACTTTTAAAAACACAGAGTGGTCAGATAATGAACACAGCTGCACAGAGTTTCAAACACTTAGAGTCAGGCCCATTTTCACTGTCTTTTGGTCTGCTTGTTTGCATTAAGCAGCTAACTCTTGATTATTTTAATTCCAAACTACATAAACATATTTCATAAATATTAAATCTACATGAGTACAAACAGTCACCTCCTTTGTTACTTACTCTCTATGACCCTTTTGCATACCTCAACAGTCTTTTCATTGATATATCTTGATTGTGTCCCATATTTGATTGTCACAAAAAGCATATTTTCAAATAAAAATGAACATCTGAAAAAGACTGATGACAATTTACATCTCTCCTTCCCTATTACAGCCATCTCTCCATA